TGACAATAAGGCGCTGCAAATCCGCCCATTAATTTCGAAATTCAAGAGAGTCATTTTATCAAATGTTTGCCCCATTATTCCAGATAAAATATTGGAAGATCATCTCTCAAAATTAAACATCAGGTTGGGTTCTAAAATGACTTCCCTACGTGCTGGTTTTTCTAATTCCGGCTTCGCTCATATTATGAGTTTCCGGCGCCAAATTTTCATCCACCCTGACGACGTTAGCAAATTACCGGAGTCCATGAAGATTGTTTTCGACGACACGACCTTTTGGATTTATTTATCTTCCGACGCCGTCATGTGCTTCAACTGTAAACAGTCGGGCCATCTGGCAAAAAACTGTCCCGTTGGTACAATAAGCGTCGCTTCTCCTACACTCGAAGATGAAATTCCTTCGGTACAAAATATAACTCCACCTGAAACAGGTTCTATCAGTGTCTCTAATACTACGTTCCTGCTACCCTCTGGTAACCCAAAAAGGCCTCTCTCTCTACCTCTGATTCAAGCTCCTACGTCGCACAGAAAACTAACGACAACAAAGTCAAGGAATTTGATAATCTGTCCGATACCAGTGACCAACAGAGCAAGGGGGACAGGCACATCACTCCTAGGAAAAAGAAATCGAAACCGGAACCAATAAATCTCGACCTTCATCTATCACCTGTAAAAAAATACCTTGACGAAACGAAAAACAAAAAATATCTCAACTACGTCCAACTTAAAAGTTTTATTGAAAATTCAACGGAGTGTGCCAACATCGAAACTATTTGCCATGAGTACGGTGAAGACTCGTTCAAAATAGCTCATACTCTGAGATCCACCTATCCTCTCCTCAAGGAGAGAGTAATGAAGAGCAGATTCAGCCGACTCTTAAAGAAACTCAGCCTTATCGAAGCCGGGGTACTAGATGATCACATGGAAGCTGGAACCTCCGATGAAACCGTTGAAGATCTCCCAACTGTATCTACATCTTTAGAGAATAAGGAATAATGTCCGAATCAATTTTACAGTGGAACATTAATGGTTTTCATACACAAAGGGAACAGTTAGATTTATTAATAAATAACATAAAGCCTAGTGTCATCTGTGTTCAAGAAACAAACTTTAAGGGTACGTATTGTTCGACGATCAAATGGTACCGCTCCTTTAACAAAAATCGCACAACTGCCTTACATGCCAGTGGGGGTGTTGCCACCTTCATCAAAAATAATATCGCCTCTCAGTTAATCCCCCTCAACACCAATTTTGAGGCAATAGCTAATTCCGTATTATTTTCTTTTGGATATGTATCTATATGTAACATTTACTTACCACCTAACTATGACTTCTCACTCTCCGAAATCCAGCATCTTTTAAACCAATTGCCTAAACCCCTCGTCCTTGTTGGCGATTTTAATAGTCACCACTTTATATGGGGTTCCAACAAAATTGATTCCAAAGGACGTATAATAGAGAGACTTTTGGATGACCCCAACCTGGTCATTTTGAACACAAATAAATTCACCCACTTTAATAATAGCTCTAAATTGTTTACCGCCATTGACTTAACTATCTGTAGTTCTTCCATAGCTCATTATTTGTCTTAGACCAGAAATCAGAATCCCTGTGGTAGCGATCATTTCCCAATATTCTTATGTAACCTAAATTTCGTTTCCCCTAAAAGTACTCCTGTCACCCATTGGCTCTTCAAAAAGGCCGACTGGTCCAGATTTAATATTCAAAAATATGAAAAAATAGATAAACTTACAAATTGTCCTTCCCCTCCACAACTTTCTAACATTGACGACAAATTATACTTCTTTACTAAAACTATACTAGATTTTGCTAGTAATTCCATACTCAAAACATCAAATAAATTTCATAAAAGACAAGTCCCCTGGTGGAATGAGTTATGCCAGGAATCTCTTAAAGCATATAAGCGAGCCTTCTCCCACTTCAAACGCCATCCTACAACTGATAATTTTACGCTATATAAACAGCTTAGATCCGCTGCAGTCGCACTTTCAAGGAATGTAAAAGGCAATCTTGGAAAAATTTCGTTTACTCTATCCATCCTTCATCTCCCCCTTCACTATACTGGAATAAAATTAGGAAAATAAATGGCTTCAAAAGAAATCTTTCATTTTCCTCTATCATTTCCTCTGATAATAAAATTCTATCTTCCCCAGAAGATATAGCTAATTATTTAGCCCTAAACTTTGCTAAAAACTCTAGTGATTGTAACTACACTAGTGACTTCTGTGATTTCAAATCATCTTCTCAAATAAGTTCGATAGCCATTTCTCCTAACACAAACGGGAACCATTCCCTTAACGCTCCTATCCAACTTCATGAAATCGAGAGCAGTATGAAACACCTTAAAAACACCATTTCGACGGAAATATTCTGAATTTTATTGGAAATTTTCTTAGTAACAGAATCATATCTGTTAAAGTACTTAACAGTATATCCCAGAAGGTAACTATCAAAAATGGTGTTCCTCAGGGGTCAATTATAAGCGTCATTCTCTTCCTCATAGCCATAAATGAAATATTCTCAATCATTCCCCAACCGGTTAAATTTTGTGTCTATGCTGAGGACCTTACTATATTCGCCAGTGGAAAAAATGTCCATACCACCCAACTTATCATTCAAGACACGCTTAACAAAATTCAAAAATGGTCTTCTGTTACAGGTTTTAGGTTCTCGAATAGCAAATCCAAATACATCCTTTTCTCAAGACTAAATAATACTCCCTCTGGTATTAAACTATCCTTATCTGGCCACGAAATTAAGGAGGCTTTTCAAATAAGCATTTTGGGTCTAATATTTGATGGAAAACTAAATTGTTCTGCTCATATAAAACATCTAAAGAATGAATCCTCACAAAGACTAAACCTCATAAAAATGATTTCTGCCCAAAAATGGGGTGCAAATAGGGATCTTATAATCCTCACTTATAAATCCTTTATACGTTCCAAATTGGACTATGGGTGTGTAATCTATAGCTCCGCTAAGGAGTCACTCCTCTGTTCTCTAAACTCGATCCAAAACACGGGGCTGAGGCTCGCGTTGGGTGCTTTCAAAACTAGTCCTATTCCTAGTATCCTGGCCGAAAGTAAGGTTATCCCGTTAGATTTAAGGAGAAAACAACTTTGCCTAACTTATGCTTCGAAATTGAAATCGACTCCCACTAATCCTACATACTCTAAGGTTTTCATGAACCACTTTGATCACCTCTACTCCTCCTCTCCCTCTAACTTCCCTAAACCTCTTTCTCATCGTTTAAAATCTTATGTTAGCGAAACTATTCAATCCTTCACCCCTTTATTTCCGTTTGTTTCATTAACCGAACCTCCTTGGTCTATCCATTCTCCCAAAATTGATTCATCATTATGTAAATTTCCGAAAGATAACACTAATCCCATTGTCTTCTAAAATATTTTCCGCGAGATCACTCAAAAGTATGAAAATGATATACATGTTTTCACTGATGGCTCTAAATCTAATGAGAGATGTGGCTGCTCTATTGTGTTCCCTAATTTTCGAAAATTATTCAAACTCCACGACTTCTGCTCTGTTTTTTTCTGTGAAGCATTTGCTATTTTACAGGCGGTTGAGTCCATTATTTCTGCACGAGATACAAAATTTATAATTTTCACCGATTCCGCTAGTGTCTTAGAAGGATTAGCTAATCCCGGAAACCAAGATCCCATTATTATCCACATTTTCAATGCCTTAATAAATGCCAACAATTTTAATAAAGAAATCATTTTCTCTTGGATCCCCTCTCATGTAGGGATACTAGGTAATGAAACCGCGGACGCTGCGGCTAAGGAGGCTGCTAAAGAAATTCCTTCAAACCGATCCTCTTCTCACAAAGATTTGACCAAACAAATTAAAAAAAAAAATTAGAGAAGTATGGAATATAAGGTGGACTAGTTCCCCTCCCTCTGGCTTATACTTGGTAAGGCAAGACCTTCTTAATCTCAATCTTGACGGTCCCCTTATAGAAAATAGAAGAGATCAGGTAGTCATCACTCGACTTCGCATAGGACATACCAATCTCACCCACCTACACAGGATTTTGCAAAGTCCCCCTCCTTTATGTTCCCAATGTAACACTCTAGTCTCGGTTGAACACCTCCTCCTACAATGTCCTCTGTACTCCTCGCAAAGACGGCATATGGTTATCCCCAACACTTTAAACGTATGCCTCAATAATGACAAAAACATAACCCAGGTTTTATTATTCCTCAAAAACATAAATGTATATCACACTTTGTAATTATGTTCAAAACAATTTCATATAGTTCTTTACTCAATGTATTTACAATTATACTTAAGTACAATAATGTAAAATTATAATTTAAATATGTTCAATCTTTATGGTCGCTAATGACCTTGATGTTAATGCGACCTGTATAAATAAATAATTTAAAAAAAAAAATAGTTTACGGCATGGTTGCGTAGGCTGTTTCGAGTCGATGGCTGATATTGTCGGCAATATCCATCTAGGGGTGACCGTTTATGAGGTCTTTAAAATTTCGCGTAGTCCCGAGCCTCAACGGTCGAGCGTGCCGTAGCCTTGGAAAAACCCATGAGTGGCCTGGGGCTTTCCGCGAGACGCCAAGCGACCACCTACCCTTGCTCCGCGATACCGTTAGCGGGGGCGCGGCGACTGGGGTGTGCATGAGAGCAGGGGCGCCCTGATTGGTCCGAGGTATCTTCGATTGTCACCTGGCGAAGCGAAATCAGATTTCGATTTATCGACTTCGAAGACGCACGAGCGATCTGAGAGACATCAATCGTTGAAACCTTGCGAGTATATAATAAATTGGCGTTTTGCTTTCCAACGGAGAGTTTATATCGTATCAACCTTTACTTCCCGAACAATTTTTGGTGCCGAAACCCGGGAAACAAACTATTACGGGTGTTTAGTGTTGTCGAGTAAAGTGGTTGTGCGGTATAGTACGAACAAACCGATTTCTGAATAATTTCGGCAAACGAACGTGAACATGCCGCCTAAAAGAACAACGAGAGCTGCCAGCAAAGCGGCCCACGAGGACCAAGGGCCAGCTGACAAAGAGGCCAAGGAAAGGAGTCGGGAGACCAAAAGGAACCGAGAAGAAGGCAACGGTAGAGAGCAGCGAGCGCAACGAGCCGGTGCGCAAAATCAGGCGAGCCATCGTCGAAGAGCAGCCACCACCACCGAGGCCGACATCGCCGATCATCGAGGTTCGTCGAAGCGAGAGCGCGATCAACCAGCCTCGGAGACGACGAGACAGCGGCAGCTCGGCGGAAGGAGATCAGGGAGGCGAGTTCGACGATGCCGACAGGCCGATTACGCCACATGCCTTCATCCCAGGCGAATACAGCGGCTTGCGTTCGCCGCTCGCGAGAAAGTCCAACAAAGGGGTAAGTGATTGGTTTCACAGCACGGTGCGTCAGGACAACGCGGAAAACATGCGCGAGGTAGGGCCAGCGGGTATCTCATCTATCCGTAAAGGAGAGAGTCAGGGAAACCGTCCGCGAATAACGAGCGTAATAGATATAGGGAACCCAACGGTCGAATTTTTGGGGCGATTCACGGAGGCTATTGAGTCGACATTGCGTACGGTCCGCGAAGCGACATTTAGTGAAGGTAATTCGCGACTCGTGAATAGGTTAAAGTCGGCGAAAGCATTGCCTGAATTCTCGGGGAATATACTCGAGTGGTTCTATTTCAAGAAAACATTCGAATTAACGTCGGAACTCAGGGATTATAGCCCGCAGGAAAACGTCACGCGTCTCGTCGCGGCTCTCAAGGGGAAAGCGCGCGAAACCGTCAGCATGCTGCTGGCGACGACCCGCGATGCATCGGAGGCCATGCGGACCTTAGAATTACATGTCGGGGATAAACGAACGATCGCCACGAAAATCGTGCACGAATTGAAAGAACTTCCGGCACTAGGTTCGGGCAAGATCAAGCTCACGCATTTCGCGAGTAAATTAAAAAACGCAGTATCGGCGCTCAAATCGCTTAAATTGAAGGGACACTTGCACAATCCGAACCTGATAGATTGTATCGCGAAGAAACTACCGTTCGCGCTAAAGTACGGGTATAATTCGTACGCGGAATCGGTCGTAGAAGACGAGGCGAAATTGGAAACGCTGTCCAATTTTTTATTTCACGAGGCGGAAAAAGCGGTCGCGGGAGGAATATTCGATTTAGAAGAGGTAGCGTTCGAAGACACCGCGGAAGCTCCGAGGAAAACGGCGCCGAGAAGGGTCGGCAAAGCGTTCGCGGTGGTCACCGAGTATAACGACGAAGCGGGGTCATCGGGAACGAGTTATACGCGCGCCGCGAGCGGTAAAACGCGCTCTTGTGAAATATGCAACAGAGATAACAACGGGGTCGCGAAATGTAAGGCGTTTGTGCGCGAGGGTGTAGGTAGGCGACGATTCCTGGCCCAAAAGAATGGCCTATGCTACCGATGCTTAGGTTCGGGACACGTGGGGGCAAAGTGCAGGAGCAGAAACTGCACGATATACAGAGGAGGTCACCATATCCTACTACACCGTTGCTGCGACCATTGAACGCAACAAACATCAGGCAAACGTTTGCGCTCTTAGATGACGCATCGACAATCACGTTTATCAGCAAGCGGATCGCGCGGGAGATGGGCGCGAAAGAGGAACCGCTTAGGTTAGCGTTAAGGGGAATTAACGATCGAGAGGCCGTAGATTTGTCGTGCGGAAAGGTCAGCTTTAACATTCAGGGCGAATTCGAGAAACATCGGGTTAAAAACGCGTCGCGATATCGGAACTGCGACTACCATTGCAAACTTTGAGCGGCGACATCGTGCGACATATCGCGAAAAGAGAAAACGTGTTTACGCGGCCATACGAAAGCGCGAAACCGGAAATCCTGATAGGGCATGATAATTGGAGTTGATCACGTCTCTAGAAACGCGCGCGCACACCCTTGGGTTGGGCGGTACATGGGGTAAACGGGCATACTCGCGACCGTACGGAAATAGCGGCATGCACGCGAGTGCACGGAACGGCGGGGATCTGCGAAACGGAGGATGTGAACCGAAAGTACGTGAATTAGATCAGCTCATAAAAGAATATTTTTCGATCGATGACTTCGGCGCTGGCACGTCGGTCGACCGAGCACGCGACACAAACGCGCGTTCGAAATCCTAAATAAAACAACGAAGCGAGTAGGAAAAGTGTGGGAAACGGGATTATTATGGAAGGACGACGTAGCTCCACGAATCGATAATAGGGCAACCGCGATCTTATGATATTAGAAAGGAAATTAGACCGCAACGGGGAATACGCCGAGATATTTTACAAGGAAATGCAACGGCTCATCAACATGGGGTACACGAAAAAGGTAAAAAGGGACGAGATAAGGGCGCGTTTGTGGTATTTATCGTACTTCGGTGTGACGAGCGCGAATAAATCCGGTCGCGTGCGTATCGTACAACACGCGAGCAAGAAGACGAAGGGACTTAGCTTAAATGATCAATTAGAGACCGGACCAGATCTCCTACAATCACTAGCCGGCGTGATGATTCGCTTTCGATTGTACGCGGTCGCCGTCACGGCCGACATATCGGACATGTACAAGCGCGTACAAGTAACCGAACGCGATCGCGTCCCGCAGAGATTTTTATGGCGGGGCGCGGATAGGAAACGCGAACCGGACGTGTACGAGATGACATGTTTAATTTTCGGGGTGAAGTCGTCGCAGTGTAGCGCGATATATGTAAAAGATAGGAACGCGGATTTGTTCGCGCAAACGAAATCTGACGCGGTGACCAGCATTAAACGCGATAGTTACGCCGACGATTTTCTCGCGAGACGGCCGACGGTTAGCGAGGCCGCGAGATTAGTGCGCGACGTCATCGAAATAAACGCGAGCGCAAACTTCCGATGCACGGTTGGTAGAGCAACGATGCGAGAGCGATCAAGTCGGCACCCTTAGAAACGCGCAACAAGACGACCTTGAAAATCATTTTCGAGACCAGGAGAATGAACGCGTTCTAGGCATGTTTTGGGAAACAAACGGTGACACGTTAGGGTTCAACGTAGGTAGGGATAAGGTATCGAAAGACATAATCGACGGAAAGCGGAAACCAACGAAACACGAGTTTTTAAGAATTATTATGTCGGTTTACGATCCGCTAGGACTTCTCTCGCCATTTACTATCAATCGAAAATACTACTGCAAGAAATCTGGCGCAGCGGCGTGGGTTGAGACGACACGATACGAGACGAAGAACACAAGGGATGGATGGCGTGGGTTGAAGCGTGGCGAGGGTTAGGTACGTGTCGCGTGCCGCGATGCTTGACGCCGAAGAATACGCATTATTCAGGCGTACAATTACACGCGTTTTCGGATGCGAGTTATTAGCCGCGCGACTCATCAAAACCGTCGGGGAAGAATTAACGATTAAGGTAGATCGGCGTTTCCTATGGTCCGAATCGATCACCGTGCTTAGATGGATCAAATCGGAACCGATCGCGCGACAAGCGTACATGGCGCATCAATTAGGCGAGATAAGCGAACTTACTACATGCGCGGAATGGAGATGGCCATGCGTAAAACCGATCCTTGATTTGTTGGACCCGACTTCTTGCGAAAACCGGAAGCGAATTGGCCGGTCCAAGGTAAAATAAGCGAAACGTAGACGAAAAACATCGATGGCATAGAAGCGCGAAAAGCCATGATGTACGTCGTCCCGTCCGCGACGCTGAGTGTCCCGATAACCGCGAAAATATTCGGCTGGCAGAAGCTTCTAGCAGTAGCTCGACGTGTTCGCGGATTTTGGGATAGGTGGTGAAGTGACAAGCACGAAGATCGCCACTTCGAACGCGACGCGTTGGAAAATTTCTGGTTCTGAACGATCCAAATGGATTATTTTTCGGAGGAAATTTCGGCACTATTACAAGGTAAGATCGTTAAGAAAAATAGTAGAATCGCGAATTTCAGGCCATTTATGATTACGCGGGGGATTTTGCAAGCGGAAGGTCGTATTACGTAGTTGGGCAAAGACTGCTTTAATAACCAGCCGATTATTTTGGTGGGGGAACACCCAGCTACGAGAGCATTGATAAAGGAATATCACCATAAATATTACTACGCGAGCAGCGACACGGTGGTAAACAAGCTGCGTCAAAAATTCCACGTTGTCGGGTTACGAAAAGAGTTGCGATCATTACTAAGTGCGTAATGTGTAGAATACAGAGAGGAAAACCGCAGAACCCGATGATGGCATCGTTGCCAACCGGGCGTCTCGCATATAACTTAGAGCGTTCACACATTGCGGCGACGATTATTTTGGCCCGATGTCCGTAAAGATCGGTCGACGCAGGGAAAAACGATGGGGGGTAATTTTTACGTGTTTAACGACAAGGGCAATACATTTGGATCTCGTGGATAGTTTAACGTCGAGCGCCGTTATCATGGTTGTGCAGAGATTAGCAGCGATAAGAGGCTGCCCGTCGGTCATGTACAGTGATAACGGTACTAATTTTCGCGAGGCGTGTCGGGAGTTGAAAGACGAATTGAATCAGATGAATATGAACGAGCAGAGAGAATTTGCGCTGCGAAACGGAATGAAGTGATTTTTTAACCCACCCGATGCTCCTCACATGGGAGGAGCATGGGAGCGACTGATTAGGAGTGTAAAGACGGCATTACGCGCAGTATTAAACGAACAAGCACCGGCACCGGACGTTTTATATACAGTCTTGACGAAAATAGAAAACTCGGTAAATTCGCGACCCTTAACGCATGTTTCTTTAGATCCGCGCGACAACGAAGGACCCAAATCATTTTCTTATTGGGTGCTCATCCGGCGCGATAGACCTGGGCAAGTATGACGCGGAGACCGTATGTGTAAGAAAGCATAGGCGCGTAGCTCAAAGGTTTGCCGATGCATCCTGAAAGCGGTGGCTCCGGGAATATTTGCCCACGCTCCTTCCGAGGAAGAAGTGGTTGGAACAAGGGAAAGCCTTAGCGGCCGGGGACATAGCGATTATCGTTGACTTGCAAGCACCGCGGAATACTTGGAGGAAGGGAATCGTGATAGAGGTCCATAACGGCGCCGATGGGGTAGTACGTGTTTCGAGAGTCAGAACTAATAATAAGCGAGTATGTCAGGGCGGTACATAAATTGATCAGGTTAGTGAGCACGGAAGAAATGCGAGACGACTAAATCTGAGGAAAGGACGCGGACGAATGCGAGTTTCTAGCTTTCTCGGGCCTCTGTTTCAGCCATACAGGGTGTCCCAAAAATGTTGGAATTCCTTGAAAGGGGTGGTTCGGGAAGTGATTTCAAACAACTTTTTCCTTTGCGAAAATGTCGGATGGGGCTTCGTTAAACAGACTTATTAAAGTATTGTTGATAGGTCGTGTCACTAATTTTCAGTAAAATCATACTAGTTACGCTAGTGAGAGTCTTCGTTTAATTAATTTTGATTAATATACTAGTTTTCGCTAGTCAAGATCAAACAATTATATTTTTTTAAATATACTAGTTTTCGCTAGTTATTCCACATATTTACATATACTAGTTGTCTCTAGTTACGACAAGTTCACGGTAAAATGTCTACAGCTGACATAATGAACTTGACAGCTTGTCTCGCAAACTCTATGTCACTATTCGGGAAAAATACCGAGACAATGCGGAACAATTCGTTAAAGAAATGGAAATGGACGTTCTGGAAAATTTCATTGACGGGTTACCGGATCAAATATCCTGAAGAGTGTCGGCTCAGAACAGGAGCATAAAAACTCTTGAAGAAGCTTACGATGCCGTACTACAGATAGACAGGAAGTTGAGGAATCGAAGACAGATCTCTCGAAAGGAATCACCAACACGGTGGTCTCGTAAAGATCACCACTCGGAAGATATTCATTATCGCGAGCGACAAGTGTCGTACCCACAGTCTCCATCGCCGACAGAGATGGACATTATTTACATAAAAAAATTATTTAAATAGAAAATCGAATAAAGATACATAACTTTCTAACAAAACTTATTTATTTATTATACAATTTGGTGAGAGACGCTCCACCGATCGGCTCGAAGGCCATACACCGAATGCTTTTATTTCTCCACGCACTCTGTTTCGATGAGCCCTTGTTCTTGTACGAGCCGCCGCGGCGGCCACGCGCTACTCGCACACACTGCAAGCGTTTTCTTACAACTTTATCTTTATTCGATGACTGCCAGATAAAAAAAAGTATTCGAAGTAAATCGACTCAATGGATTGTTACGTATACAGAAACTCTCCGTTTTTTAGAAGCTCGCGTTCATTAATCTTTTTATCTACCCTTCTGGAATTTGGAGCTTGGTCTCACGGGAGTGCATCCTGCAGCTGCATCCTCTTAATATCATCTTTGACTCCCGTTGCGTGGGATAGTTTCTAATCTACCCTTTTCCCAGTGAACGCAGCTGCTCACCTCAGAGTCACGAAAATCCTAACCGTCAAATTTCCTAATATGGAAATCACTGACGGTTCCCCACCAACATTTAGGGGTATATAAACCCATGATTTTCGTTGCTCGGGGGCTAGTA